AAAATATTCGAGATAAAAAAAATTGAATTGCATATTCGTGTTTAGCGTTCAATTTCACATAAAATTAATGCATAATAAAAAAAATTATTTTAAAAATTTGCTGGGCCCACTCTTCTGGTTTCGTACCATTCATTCAATGATTTATCTGTTTTTGTTTTCAAAACACTATTCAATGCTTTCATTGAATGCAATATCAGTTGTGTTTCGCTCACCACTCATAACCCCTTTTCAACACAACAATCGCTTCACTGCTTAACACACTATTAGTTTAATTAATAAATTTAACAGTAGTTTAGTTTCAAAATGAAATTTTATTTATTAATTTTAGTATAATTAATACTCCGATTATATTAGTTATAAATGTTTATATTTAATTCAATTACTGTTAATTAATTTACTTTATAAATCACGTCAATTACTGATCATTATATAAATGCAAAACAATTGATTAAATTAAAAACTTAATTAAATATAAACCTAATGATTAAAATGCGATTACAATTAGAGATAATAATCACAAACATATGATTTCATTCAGAGATCGCTTGAATCAAACGTCTGGACAAATGTCTGGGCATTGAGTGAAAGGCATCCGATTTGCAGACATCTATCAAATAAGTGGACACAAAATCAACGCAATTCTTCTCCATCTCAACGGATCCATCATTTATGGCCTTTTCATACAAATGGCAAACATTTGTCAAATCAATTGGCATTTCACGGCTCAACATCTGTCCGCACATTTTCTTCAGTACCGACTCGTCATAAATTGTGGCCAAATGTGAGACTTCGGCCGCAATGTCATCATTGATGTCGGGCTTCAGACCATACAAGAACTGGAGGAATGCGCGGAACGACTCATATGTATAGCTTTTAACCGAAATATCGTATTTCTTGGATCTCTTGATTCGCAGCATTTTTTTGGTACAAATTTCCCAAAATGTTTTGTTTCGATATTTAATAATAGATTTTTGACAATAAATGGATTTATCGGTGAATTGAAACTCCAAATCATAATCCGATGGATTGTCAAAACCAATTGACAAACACTTCTGGAACTCATTCATAGCCATCAAATCTTCGTTGATATTCATATCACCACTCGTTGTCTTCGCGTGTATTCCCGAATCGTTTGCCACACTTTCCCGACACTCGAGTCCAGTGACATTCGGAGCACTACTGGCCGTACTCTCGATGTCGTCGTCTTCGCCATTGCTTAGCATTTGGTCCTTCGAAGTGATGTTTAAATTGCCATTTGATGTCTTCACAGATATTCCCGAATCATTTGGCAGACAAACACTTTCGCGACTCTCGACTCGATTGATATTCGATGCACTACTAGTCGTACTCTCAATGTCATAGTCTTCGGGAGTGTCAATGGGATCCACTGTCTTGACATCAATGGTGATCGGTTCGGGTTTAAAGACAATAGTCTCGAATGTGATCTCAATTTTTGAATAAATGGCAAAAATATCGCAAACGGTATACTTATCGGGCGTTTCGCGGATCAGTTCCGGTCGATAGAAAAACGAGCCGTCGTTTAAAAAGCCCCAAATGTAGTACCGATTGTCGACCGAAAGGCCAATCGAATGGCTGCGACCGCTGTAGGCGAAGATGTCTTTGAATCGGATCTCTTCAGTGATACAAACGGGCGCCGGCTGTGTCTTCTGACTGCCATTTCCCACCTGTCCGTACGTATTGTCGCCGAACGCATACACGTGTCCATCAGTGGTCAACAGTAGTGTGTGTTCGGCACCACAAACGACTTTCTCGATCACCAAGTGATCCAAACCGGGGATCAGTTCGGGTGTCTCAGAGACAGGCAAATGGCGTTTCGACGGCAGTCCCTCATAGAGTGGTCGACCCAATTGGTAGCACCAGTTGCTGCCCCACACGTAGACCAGGCCGTAGTCCGTGAGCGCCACTGAATGACATTTACCGCAATCGATGGCCACTATTCGGTCGCCTTTGAGCCGTACGGGAGTGGGATTGAGTCGCGAGACAAAGTGGCGGACACCTAATTGGCCCATATTGTTGCGCCCGAACCCAAACACCTGGCCATCGGTGGTCAGCGCTAGCGAATGAAATTTGCCGCACGCTATGGCCGCCACTCGCTTGTCGCCCAAGTCTCGGATCAGTTCGGGTCGATCGGTGTCTTCGTTGGTGCCGACACCGCACTGTCCGTAACGGTTCTCACCCCACGCCCAGAGGCGGCCGCCGGCCGTCAGCGCCAACGTGTGGTTCAGTCCGTGACAGAAGTCGACCACTTGTTGGCCGCTGAGTGTGGGGTTGAGTCGCGGCTCCCGATAGTGACCACTCGTGCGGTCGACGCCCAGCCGTCCGCTCGGATTGTCGCCAAAGCCGTACACCCGGTCCTCATCGGTGGCGAAGATAATCGACTTTCCATTCACGCCGAAGACGCTCAGCAATCGGATCCCCGTTCGCCGCCAGCGCTCGTCCGCCACCAGCGGTCGCAACGACTTGAATGTCTTGACGGCCGGCAACTGATCCAAGGATTGAGGCATTGATTTGCGGGGTTTTGTTTGACAATCAAATGACAATTAAAGGCAAACACATTGACGCAAAACACGTGTTTTGAGGCATAAATAACGTTACTTTTAATTTACAACACAAGCCATTGAAATGAACATAAAATACTTGCTTTGATTGCAACCCCTTTTGCACATAATTTATGGATAATTTTGAGCGCAAAATAAACCATTAAATCACACACAAAGGGTTGTTCACAAACAACGTGACACAACATTTGTTATTATTATACCCCAAACAATACAAACATGTATTGATTGTTCACTCGATAACACCCCCTATCAGTCCCTCACAGGCTATCCCCGCGTCTGACGTAACGTATGATTTGGTTAACACAAAAACATATCAATTATTAGTGAAACCACTCGTTATAGTGAACCAAATCATCGCAAACACGATGTCTTCAGCGGCCAAAGAGTACGAGTCGGCCGTATTTGGGGGCCGAAAGTGGTTTATCTGTACCGTCGATGACGACAATGGATGCGATGCCACGGAGACCACCGAAGAGGCCATCGTTGAGCACGTGGTCAGAGACCATATGCGCCGATCGGCGACCGCCACCGACACACACGCGTCCACTCAAACAGCGGCCGCCGTATCGATGGACGAAGAGTTTGTGGTCACCTATAAATCGATGGACACTACCGGCCGACGAGTGGTCGTGAAGTCGGAGTCCGCGGCGAAGATCGGCAATCATGAGTCGGTGACCATCGCGTCGGCCGATAGTAGTCGTAAACGCGGCAAACAATTGGTGACAAAACACGTGACGACCCCAGCGTTGGCCAAACACGTGGCTAAAGCCACCCGCGATGACAACAGCGGTGGCGATGACCACAAGCCGTACCGATGCGATCGCTCGGGTTGTGGCCACGCGTTCGCCACATTCCCCTCACTCCGCACTCACAGCCGTAACCATCGCTGCGGTTATAACATTGAAAGCGCGGCCGAAATGAACGCCGACTGTTGTGACGCCAATCTCTACGCGTACCGAAAGGTGGAGCGCAAGTGCGGCAAAACGTGGTACAAATGCGCGTTCGGCCGCTGCCCCTACAAAGCGGCCACCAATTGGGTGCTCAGGGATCACATTCACGGCCAACACGTCTGTCCCTATCGTTATAATCTGATGAATAAGTGGGGCAAAGGTCGCGGCCGACCGGCAACTGCCCGCATGTCGACCGCCGGTCGTCTGGATGTCGAGTGGAAAGTGTCGCCATTTCTCTTCGGAAGTGATGCCAATTGGGAAACAGCGACAGACAGTGATGTCTTTGAGGACGCGGTTGAGTTGGAGCCCAAATCGGCGCCAGTATTCACGCAATTGATGTCTGCGAAGAAGCGGCGAATTACTGGCCAAACGGACGGACCGGCGGTCAACAGAGCCTCTGCGCCGACGGCTGACCACCGATCGAGCGGACCGTTTGGCGCGAATGGCGACATGATTTTCAAGAGGCCGTTGTCTCGACCGGCGGTGAAGAGAAACGCCGACCAAATCAGTTCCCAGTCCGGCATTGATAGCGAAACTACTACTACTGATCGGCCATCTAAGCGGTTCCGACCGCTGCTTAACCCTCAAGCCATGGCCACCACTTCCAGCGCCACTCCGATTGGACTCGCAGTGACCGGCGATGTCTCGGCCGGCAATTGTGGGCCACGAAAACCGTACACACGTTTGGTGTGGGACTCGATTCACGTGCCAAACGGTGGCCGAGCGTCGCCCGCGTGTC